CGGATGAAAGCAATGAAAATAAATAAAACCCAATCACTCTACAAAATATTATGAACTTAATTTTCCATTTATAAATATTTTATGCTTAAACGTGTGTTTTATTGCATCTGATAATTTCCAAATGGATCATGATGCTGATTTATATTTTTACATATGTATTCATATATCAAATTTTCAACATCTTCACTGTTATTATAATTATCCTAATAAAAGTAGCTTATAGAGAAGATATATTCTCTTTAACATTGCTTTTTGTAAAGTATTTTATTTGATGAGAGCCTTCGGCCGTTCAAAAATAAGTGCATAATATAAAAGAAAAGATAACCATAGATCGAGAAATTGTAAAATGAAATTTGTGAATATTTCAACTTAAATGCAAATATCTCGATGTCTGATAATTCATATCTGATAATTTCACAATGGATCATGATGCTGATTTACTATATTTTACGCCATATGTATTCATATATCAAATATTCAACATCTTCACTGTTATTATAATTATCCTAATAAAAATTGAAGTTTATAGAGAGTGATATATTCTCTTTAACATTGCTTTTTGAGATTTTATTTGACTGGCTTCGGCCGCGCTTCAAAAATAAGTGCATAATATAAAGAAAAGATAACCATAAATCGAGAAATTGTAAAATGAAATTTGTGAATATTTCAACTTAAAATGCAAATATCTCGAAAGCTATATTTCGGCGGCTAAACTAAAGTTTTCCGCAATCGAATTTGTAGAACTAATTTTGAATATAAAACTTTTATATTATAGTAGTAGGATCAAACAATCAATCATCATGATTAATTAAAATAAAATTATAATAAAATTAAAGTTATTAAGACAATAATTCATTCCGAGTAAAACTGCAAACGTTGCAAAATTGAATTGGCTACAATCGTCAATTGATTTCCACGGACTAGCGCCTAAACGAGGTCGAGGAAATTTCCTTTAGTGACTCTAGTGACTCATGCAAATTAAAAACTAAATATTTAAGAGACACAACAGAGTTACCAGTATGAAGAAAATATTATGAACTTAATTTTCCATTTTAATAAATATTTTATGGCTTAAACGTGTGTTTTATTGCACTGATAATTTCACAAATGGATCATGATGCTGATTTACTATATTTTTACGCCATATGTATTCATATATCAAATTTTCAACATCTTCACTTATTATAATTATCCTTAATAAAAATTGAAGCTTATAGAGAGTGATATATTCTCTTAACATTGCTTTTTGTAAAGATTTTTATTTGACTGGAGGCCTTCCGCTCAAAAATAAGTGCATAATATAAAGAAAGATAACATAGATCGAGAAATTGTAAAATGAAATTTGAATATTTCAACTTAAATGCAAATCTCGATGTCTGATAATTCATCTGATAATTTCACAAATGGATCATGATGCTGATTTACTATATTTTTACGCCATATGTCATATATCAAATATTCAACATCTTCACGTTATTATAATTATCCTTAATAAAATTGAAGTTTATAGAGAGTGATATATTCTCTTAACATTGCTTTTTGTAAAGATTTTTATTTCACTGGCCTTCGGCCGCGCTTCAAAAATAAGTGCATAATATAAAGAAAAGATAAATCGAGAAATTGAATGAAATTTGATATTTCAACTTAAAATGCAAATATCTCGAAAGCTATAAGTTTCCGGCGGCTAAACTAAAGTTTTCCCGCTAATCGAATTAAGTATGAACTAATTTTGAATTACAAAAACTTTTTATATTATAGTAGTAGCAGATCAAACAATCAATCATGATTAATTATTTTAAAATAAAATTATAATAAAATTAAAGTTATTAAGACAATAATTCAATTCCGAGTAAAACGTGCAAACGTTGCAAAAATTAGAATTGGCTACAATCGTCAATTGGATTTCCACGTGGACTAGCGCCTAAACGAGGTCGAAAGGAAATTTCCTTTAGTGACTCTAGTGACCCGCAACTTAAAAACAATGCAACCGCTACAAAAAAAAAAAACTAAATATTTAAGAGACACAACAGAGTTATCAGTTTTACTTAATGCTACACAAATTTTCACCGTCAGCAGCCAAAAAGTTTAACGAAAGTTTGATGAAACCTCTTACTGGTACAAAAATGTAAAACCTTAAAGCACTGGCTGTCTTCGTAGAAGCTAAGCTATCCCTATACCAATACAATGTCGCAATCTGATCCAGATAAGTTTCCATCCTATAAAATAATACAAGTAGAGAAAAAAAGTGCTATCCAGAATATCAGTGCATTACACTAAGCGAAACTTCCACTGAAGTAAGTTTACAAGCAAAACGATCAATTCAATTTGATGAAAATCGGATTGACTCGTTAAGGACCCGAAAACTCCAACTTTATACAAAATGGTCACAGTTCGTTCAAACAAGATTTTCATGAAAGTGATGCTAGTGATTCCTCCGTATATTTAACAACGATTGTGCCTCTGAAACTTACGTTGGAAGAAGAAGTAATTTGGAAAAATCACCGTCATCTACTAGATTTTGCAGACCACTAAAAATAGAATTTGTAAAGTAAACCCAATCTTTGGCGATTGCGGAACAGGAAAGGGTAGAACAAGAAATTAAAAAATTTTATACTACTATACAATTAAAAAAAGTTGACGGTTAATAGTTGACCACCCCAAGCCTGGCTTTGGAAACACAAACGACGGTAATACCGCTAGACTTTGCCCAAAAAGACTTTGACCAAAATGCAGAAAATTCTGCTGAAACAATATCAATAAATTTGAATTTGATAAAGCAATTGCACATACTATTAATGGTAGTGTCTTGTGGGTATGAAATCAATAATAAGAAATTTTGATATTTCGGCTCCCGGCACTAAAAAGGTTAAAAAAATATCGTGAATTTCATTCAAGAAAGTGTAGCCGCGAAAAATCAGATCATGATTTTCTGAAATATCTTTTATTAACCTCAGATCCAAGCATGCGAAGGTTGCCAAAAAAAGACCAATATATTTGGATAAAGATGGGGACGATACTGATGAATATTAAATAAGAGCTTTTTGAACTATTTTTGTAATTTTATGTTCATAACTAGTTAACCACAATTTTTTACTATAACTGCATCTTAATTTTCTCAAAAACTTTTTGTTTTGACTAACTGTAGTTATATTAAAAATAAAATAAAGAAAAATCATACAAATAAAGCTTCCGTGAATTGATCCGTAAAAATAGGGCGCCTGGCCCTACTGTGCGGCGTTGTGTTGAAACCAAGTGAAAAATAAATGGAGGTGATGTCCAAATGTGAAAAAATATAAATGGACTTGAACAAAAAAGCAACAATAAATAAACAATAACATAATTAATGATTTTTTTGTTAAAAATGTTTATTTGCCCCTCATAACTCGGTGTTGGATCATTTGACATCAAAAAGTCAAAATTATATCGTTAGATAATCGCTATCCCCAGGTAAAGCTGGAGGTTTTCAAATTCCAAATTTGTCACTAAAAATAAAAAAATATCAACAAAGTTGAAAATTATTGAATTTTTTTCCAGCGATACCTCGTCAGTTATGCAGTAGTGCCTATTGCACTGTCAACAAATCTGATGTAAAATTTTCATTAAACAGGTATAAAAATACACGTAACCGTCAAATTTGCTCCAATCAACTTCAAATTCTTACACAATCTTCTTGAGATATTATGCATTCCTTTAAGGCATTCACACAATCGGAAATTCATCATTTTATTTATTTATCTAAAAATCAAATAATCAATTTACTGTTTGAACTCGATCAATTTCTCCCCTCAAAGCCTCAACAACATAGTGAAAATAGTAATTGTTTCAAATTAATACCCAAATTAACAGTCATACTCAGGTATTTCCATTGGATGTATCCAATACAATAAATCATTCATAAATCGAGAGTTTCCTTACCGTCCCTCCTGATTTGCAATGGTGACCGTTGAGCACATCATATTACACTATTCAATCTCCAAAAATCAACAACAAATATTAGAACTGAATAATATCTCCCAGCGTAATTGCATAAAAGCAACAGCTTCGTATAATTTCTCTTTGTCCCATGTAGGGGTTTAAATCGATAAACATAAAATATTAAATATTTTCGATTTTATTACAATCCGTAGTTATACTGAATCAAAAGTTTATTATAGACATGTCAACAATACATACATACATAATTACATATGTACCATTTAAATTACGGAACTATTTATAATGTTATTGATAACCACGTCAGGGTTTCTGTAGCTGGCAGGCACCTTGAAGTGGCTTAATCTCAACGTCATTCAGTCCCTCCCAGCCGGTGTGACTGGTCTTGTACAGCATTCCTTAGACGGGTTGCCAGGGGCCGCATGTGTACGATGAAGAAGAGCTGCTCCCAATCCAGGGTGTTATGCAACTCCCATGCCCATTGGAAGATTTGCAGCCAGGAAGTAAATTCGACTGTATTTTAACGGAGCCTTCCAACACCGTGCCACCTTGGGTAATACCGGTACAAGCGTCAAGGGGCTCTGGCGCGGCGGACCTTTGATTTCCCTTTGATATAGACCAGACCTGGAAGCTCACCATGCTGAGCAAAAGGTCCTAAGAAACGGAATGAGTACACAAAAACCAAAACAAAACAACATCCACAATCACCACCTTGAACAACCAAACCAGGCAATAGGTCCGTTGCAGGTAAGAGCGATTTAGAAGTTAGGCGTTAGTTTAGTTTTCTAGACACTCTTTCGCAAGAGGAGCGCGCACTGTTTGAGGAGCACGCGCGGGACGATGATAAAGTGCCGTCCTGCAGTGGCACTCAGAAGACGCTGTCTACTCCGGCAGATTGCAGGAAATGCGGACACCACAACAACCCCTTCAAGCAGGCTCAGCTGCTCGGAGGCGGGCGAACCCAAACGAAACGGGACCAAAAGTGTGCGTAAAAAATCAGAAGCTGGGCGTCTCGGTGGCCCTGATTATTCTTGCAGGGTGGGCATGAGAGGTGCCACTGTGAAATGGTATTTTAGTACACTGAATGTGGGAAAATAACGATTCAAGAACCTCGGAGTTGTAAGAGGAATCAGCCACAGGCGATTGGTGGCCAACGCTCTGCAGGACAACATAATGGATAAGATCTACAGGGAGGGTTTTTTTTCAGGAGCGCAGGTAAGCCCTACTAGTTTGCACTTGGTCTCATTAAACCAAAACAAGAGCATCAATACATATGGTTGGAGGATAATCGGTAGCGGCACCGACACAGTCAAGCAAGTTGCTACTGCTACTGTCGTGGGAGGAGTACAGGATGAGTCTCCTATCATGCGGGAAGGGGAGTTCTCTCCACACAGAAGCGCCTGGAAGAACTGAAGGTTCAGGAGTGTGGCAAAGATGAGGACAACGGCGACTAGTACTTGTCCTTCATAGAACCGCCAAAGCCTCATAAAAGTTGCCCAGAGGAACCTACACCACGCGACGGTCGCCTCGGCTTTTATCGCGAGTATCTTCCTATCGAATAACCTATTGATCCAGGAATCGTAGACTTACAGAGGAAATGTCAGGGGCCTCAATACAAGAACAAGCAAGGTAATCTGGGATATCTCTGGTGAGAGACCTTGGTCTTGTGAAGTGGTTAGGGACGAAATTAATTTATTTTGCATTTCAGAGTTTCTAACGCAGAATCTGGTTGCGGCGCAGGTGAAGGACAAGGAAGGTTCGGACTTCGTCCTTGCATTGGCCTATTTTCCAGAGGAGACAGCTACAGCACCCCCACAGCGATTCACAAACTTATGAATTACTGCAGTAGAAATAAGCTCCCCCTTATAATGGGGTGAAACGCCAACGCGCACCATATGGAATTCTGCAGCACAGACTGCAACGCGAGGGAATTTATTATAAGTAGCAATTTAAGCATTGAGAATGTGGGTTGCAAAACCACCTTCGTTAATAGCACGAGAAGTGTGGACCGATTTGTATCTCTAGAAACACGAGCTGGGATGTATTTAGGGATATTTTAGATTTAAATATAAGGCGGGTAGGAAGCGATGCTACGCCGCTCGGCCTAGAGAGTAGGTTGGCTGTGACTAACCAGTTAATAATGGACGCGTAACATTGCGACTGTCCACTAAAGTCGACCACCAGGAAACGAAGTTGTTCATGGTGGTTCAGTAACCTTTTAGTACTCAGAAAATCAGTTTGCAGGCATTCCAACAAAGCCAAATGTACTGGCAACTGGTAGGAATATAGGTAGCACCTAACTTATAATAAGAAATTAGGTCTGCGAAAATCAATAGCTTCAGAAAATTCTGTGAAAACGTCTCCTCAGCCCTAGAGGCAGCCAGACTACATAAGGCTCTGGCCAGAGGCAAGACTGACATTAGCCATAAAAAGATCTGATGGGACCTATACGACTAGCGTAGAGAAGAGGGCAATGGCATTTTTGCTTGCGAACTTCCCGGAGACTGTTCGATTGGACAGCTGCAAGGATTTATTCACTGCAGAAAATGCAGACTCAATCCAGTGGGCACTGGCTTCTTTCACGAAAATATAAGTCACCAGGGGCGGATCGCATCTTCCCAGCACTTCTGCAACAAGGAGAACAAGCTCTATTGCCATACGGTGTTGGACAGATAAGAGATAGCCTTGCGAAAGAAAGACTCTTCATAGGCTAAATCCTTCAGGCCTATTAGTCTCACTTTCTTCATACTAAAAGGGATGGAAGAGATTATAGAAAACGATATTAGATCGAAGGCGCTGAAAATCAAACACCTAAATGCAAATCAGCACGCTAACAGACCAGATACACCACTGGCTCTTCTTCCAAGAGACGGCGCAATTTTCAAGCAGAAGACTTTTCTAAAAGTCAGTGTGCACAAATAAATCTCCAACGCAACCAGCGTATCGCTATACATAGCGATAGTCAAGTGACACTAAAAGCGAACTCAGCCTATGAGTTTAAATCGCTATTAGTGAAGGAGTGCATAGGAAGGCTGCACAGCCTACCAGGATGCAACCGTGTACACCTGATCTGAAAGAGAAAGTTACTGGCAGCAACCAATAGAATGCAAGGCTGGAAATTGAAACCTAGCAAGGCACTGCAGACTCCAAAAACACCTGTCCAGCATGAAAATGGCTTCTTGTACAAACTGCCGGTTTTGCGACATGGAACCCGAAACTCCTGATCACCTGATTTTAGATTGTACAGCAATTTGTAGACGCAGGCTCAAGACCCTTGGCTTCACTTATGTAATAATGGATCACAACACCTCTATAGTGCCCAGCAAGTTTCTGGAATTCACCGGAGTGCTGGGCCTTTGGGAATATATGTGATGGAGAGAAGGACAATAGCCTTAGGTTACAGTGAAACCTCGATTAAGTTCTATCTCTATTCTATGTTATTTATGAAATGATAATACTACTGATTTATGAGAATATTATTGCATACGTTTTAAATAATATAATTCAATAATTGTTTTACTGCATTTTATTGAAATCACACATCACATTTCACAAAATGAATACAATTTAATATTTATATTTGGACTTTTCTACTATACTTTAGTTACTATAGTTTTCGAGATATTTGCATTTTAAGTTGAAATATTCACAAATTTTATTTACAATTTCTCGATTTATGGTTATATTTTCTTTTATATTATGCACTTATTATACACTAACTTTTCACTTCAGTGTTTCTACATATTTATTTTATATTAAATATTTAAGTATTTGCTTTAAATAAGCATTTAATTTTACACAATTTCGTAATATGAACAATAACAAATGGGTTCCATGTTGTCAGATAATAAGTGTTGCCATATCTATTATATATATATATATATATAAATATATATTTGAAAGCGAATTAAAATGAACAATAGTGCGGAAGAAGTTTGACGCTTGACGCGATTAAATTATGAACACCCGGTGTGGACCGACCAGGGTTATTTTTGAGCGCGCCGAAGCCGCCAGTGCAGGAAGAAGTTTGACGCGATTGAATTATGAATAACTTTTCACTTCAGTGTTTCTACATATATTTATATTAAATATTTAAGTATTTGCTTTAAATAAGCATTTAATTTTTACACAATTTTCGTAATATGAACAATAACAAATGGGTTCCATGTTGTCAGATAACAAGTGTTGCCATATTAAAACGGATGAAAGCAATGAAAATAAATAAAAAACCCAATCACCCTCTACAAAATATTATGAACTTAATTTTCCATTTTAATAAATATTTTATGGCTTAAACGTGTGTTTTATTGCATCTGATAATTTCACAAATGGATCATGATGCTGATTTACTATATTTTTACGCCATATGTATTCATATATCAAATTTTCAACATCTTCACTGTTATTATAATTATCCTTAATAAAAATTGAAGTTTATAGAGAGTGATATATTCTCTTTAACATTGCTTTTTTTTGTAAAGATTTTTTATTTGCACTGGAGGCCTTCGGCCGCGCTTCAAAAAAATAAGTTCATAATATAAAAGAAAAGATAACCATAAATCGAGAAATTGTAAAATGAAATTTGTGAATATTTCAACTTAAAGTGCAAATATCTCGAAAACTATAAGTTTCCGGCGGCAAATATAAAGTCCAAATATAAATATTAAATTGTAATTCATTTTTGTGAAATGTGATGTGTGATTTCAATAAAAATGCAGTAAAAACAATTAATTGAATTATATTATTTAAAACGTATGCAATAATATTCTCATAAATCAGTAGTATTATCATTTCATAAATAACATAGAATAGAGAATAGAACTTAATCGAGGTTTGCACTGTAACCTAAGGTCTATTGTGCTCTCTCCTCCATCACATATATAAGGTGTTGTGATCCATTATTACATAAGTGAAGCCAAGGGTCTTGAGCCTGCGTCTACAAATTGCTGTACAATCTAAAATCAGGTGATCAGGAGTTTCGGGTTCCATGTCGCAAAACCGGCAGTTTGTACAAGAAGCCATTTTCATGCTGGACAGGTGTTTTTGGAGTCTGCAGTGCCTTGCTAGGTTTCAATTTCCAGCCTTGCATTCTATTGGTTGCTGCCAGTAACTTTCTCTTTCAGATCAGGTGTACACGGTTGCATCCTGGTAGGCTGTGCAGCCTTCCTATGCACTCCTTCACTAATAGCGATTTAAACTCATAGGCTGAGTTCGCTTTTAGTGTCACTTGACTATCGCTATGTATAGCGATACGCTGGTTGCGTTGGAGATTTATTTGTGCACACTGACTTTTAGAAAAGTCTTCTGCTTGAAAATTGCGCCGTCTCTTGGAAGAAGAGCCAGTGGGGTATCTGGTCTGTTAGCGTGCTGATTTGCATTTAGGTGTTTGATTTTCAGCGCCTTCGATCTAATATCGTTTTCTATAATCTCTTCCATCCCTTTTAGTATGAAGAAAGTGAGACTAATAGGCCTGAAGGATTTAGCCTATGAAGAGTCTTTCTTTCGCAAGGCTATCTCTTATCTGTCCAACACCGTATGGCAATAGAGCTTGTTCTCCTTGTTGCAGAAGTGCTGGGAAGATGCGATCCGCCCCTGGTGACTTATATTTTCGTGAAAGAAGTCAGTGCCCACTGGATTGAGTCTGCATTTTCTGGAGTTAATAAATAAATCCTTGCAGCTGTCCAATCGAACAGTCTCCGGGAAGTTCGCAAGCAAAAATGCCATTATTTCAACTTAAAATGCAAATATCTCGATGTCTGATAATTCATATCTGATAATTTCACAAATGGATCATGATGCTGATTTACTATATTTTTACGCCATATGTATTCATATATCAAATTTTCAACATCTTCACTGTTATTATAATTATCCTTAATAAAAATTGAAGTTTATAGAGAGTGATATATTCTCTTTAACATTGCTTTTTTTTGTAAAGATTTTTTATTTGCACTGGCGGCCTTCGGCCGCGCTTCAAAAAAATAAGTGCATAATATAAAAGAAAAGATAACCATAAATCGAGAAATTGTAAAATGAAATTTGTGAATATTTCAACTTAAAATGCAAATATCTCGAAAGCTATAAGTTTCCGGCGGCTAAACTAAAGTTTTCCCGCTAATCGAATTAAAAAGTATGAACTAATTTTGAATTACAAAAACTTTTTATATTATAGTAGTAGCAGATCAAACAATCAATCATGATTAATTATTTTAAAATAAAATTATAATAAAATTAAAGTTATTAAGACAATAATTCAATTCCGAGTAAAACGTGCAAACGTTGCAAAAATTAGAATTGGCTACAATCGTCAATTGGATTTCCACGTGGACTAGCGCCTAAACGAGGTCGAAAGGAAATTTCCTTTAGTGACTCTAGTGACTCATGCAAATTAAAAAAAAAACTAAATATTTAAGAGACACAACAGAGTTACCAGTATGAAGTAAAAATATTATGAACTTAATTTTCCATTTTAATAAATATTTTATGGCTTAAACGTGTGTTTTATTGCATCTGATAATTTCACAAATGGATCATGATGCTGATTTACTATATTTTTACGCCATATGTATTCATATATCAAATTTTCAACATCTTCACTGTTATTATAATTATCCTTAATAAAAATTGAAGCTTATAGAGAGTGATATATTCTCTTTAACATTGCTTTTTTTTGTAAGATTTTTATTTACTGGGGCCTTCGGCCTTCAAAAATAAGTGCATAATATAAAGAAAGATATAGAATCAGAAATTGTAAAATGAAATTTGTGAATATTTCAACTTAAAATGCAAATATCTCGATGTCTGATAATTCATATCTGATAATTTCACAAATGGATCATGATGCTGATTTACTATATTTTTACGCCATATGTATTCATATATCAAATATTCAACATCTTCACTGTTATTATAATTATCCTTAATAAAATTAAAGTTTATAGAGTGATATATTCTCTTTAACATTGCTTTTTGTAAAGATTTTATTTGCACTGGCGGCCTTCGGCCCGCTTAAAAATAATGCATAATATAAAGAAAGATAACCATAAATCGAGAAATTGTAAAATAGATTTGTGAATATTCACTTAAAATGCAAATATCTCGAAAGCTATAAGTTTCCGGGCTAAACTAAAGTTTTCCGCTAATCAGATTAAAAGTATGAACTAATTTTGATTACAAAACTTTTATATTATAGTAGTAGATCAAACAATCAATCATGATTAATTATTTTAAAATAAATTATAATAAAATTAAAGTTATTAAGACAATAATTCAATTCCGAGTAAAACGTGCAAACGTTGCAAAAGTAAATTACATCGTCAATTGTTTCCACGTGGACTAGCGCCTAAACGGTCGAAGAATTTCCTTTAGTGACTCTAGTGACTCATGCAAATTAAAAACTAAATTTAAGAGACACAGAGTTATCAGTTTTTAATGCTACAAATTTTCCGTCAAGCCAAAGTTAACGAAATTTGATGAAACCTCTTACTGGTCAAAATGTAACACAAGCACTGGCTGTCTTCGTGAAGCTAAGCTATCCTATCCAACATAATGCCAATCTGATCCAGATGAAGCATCCTATAAAATACGAAGAGAAAAGTCTATCCAGAATATCAGTGCATTACACTAAGCGAAACTGACAGTAAGTTTACAACAAAACGATCAATTCAATTTGATGAAAATCGGATTGACTCGTTGGACCCGAAACCTCAACTTTATACAAAATGGTACAGTTCGTTCAAACAAGATTTTCATGAAAGTGATGCTGATGATTCCTCTATATTTAACAACGATTGTGCCTCTGAAACTTACGTTGGAAAAGTAATTTGGAAAATCATCATCTAGATTTTGCAGACACTAAAAATAAATTGTAAGTAAACCTAATCTTTGGCGTTGCGGAACAGGAAGGGTAGACAAGAAATTAAAATTTTATATCTACTATACAATTAAAAAGTTGACGGTTAATAGTTGAACCTACAGCTTTGAAGCACAAACGACAGTATATCCTGTTTGCCCAAAGACTTTGACCAAAATGCAGAAAATTCTGCTAAACAATATCAATAAATTTGAATTTGATAAAGCAATTGCACATACTATTAATGGTAGTGTCTTGTGGTAAAATCAATAATAAGAATTTTGATATTTCGCTCCGCACTAAAAGGTTAAAAATATCGTGAATTTCATTCAGAAGAGTGTAGCCGCGAAAATCAGATCATGATTTTCTAAATATCTTTATTAACCTCAGATCAAGCATGCAAGGTTGCCAAAAAGACCAATATATTTGGATAAAGATGGGACGATGATACTGATGAATATTAAATAAGAGCTTTTGAACTATTTTGTAATTTTATGTTCATAACAGTTAACCACAATTTTACTA